GAAAATTTTACCCATCTGATGCAGTCATGGAGTTATAATACTGGAATCTTGGATTATTCAGAATAGTATGTCGCTTTCAGTTTTCTTAGTATAACTGTAATTCCAGTTAATACTATTTTTGAAGGTAATGCCGCCTTTGGTACTCTTTGGAGACCAGCAGCAGGACTGATTCATGGAAGTCATTACTTTAGAAGTGTGCTTATTCTTTCTGAGTTAGAATGAATGGAAGAGGAGGCAGGATGCTAACTACCAATAACATTTTCAAGGCATAAAAACTTTTCTGGAACAGAACAAAATAGTGAATACTTTCATTACCATGTAGACATAACTTACAGCCTTTCTGCTTTTTTTTTAAAAAAAAGAAAAGCTCTATTTCAAGCAAAGCAGATTTTCTGCTTTTTTTTTTATTGTGATGGTGTACTTGCATTTTTCTTCATTTGGGAAAAAAGACCTTATCATTCTTTCACTGAGACAAATGGATGCTTTTATAGACACAAAATACAATTTTGATGCTTTAAAATCATGTTAGTTTTTTTCTTTGTTTTCATGATGTTTCAAGTTTGACTAGAGTTGACAGATTAAATTGCAGCTTTGGAGTTCCTTGTACAAATTTTACTTCCTCGCAAATAATGTTAAAGTTTTTTTAATACTAAAAGATGTCTGATATCAAAAGTTTTTAAAAGAATTTGTAGCACTTCGGGAACTGTTGTCTCTTTATTCTAACATAAATGGATTATTATTCTACAAAAGCTAGAAGGGATATTACTACTTAGAGACCTGTAGATTCTGGTACTGGCTAACTTAGTTGCTTTTTATTTGTTATCTAGTGAAAAGTGTATTTTGTATATATAGAGCACTTGTTTACCTGCTTTGGAATTCATACTATTTGCTGTGATGTACATGAACTCTGTTATGATTAATTTAAAAACAACAACCCTTTAAATTTTGTTTTTGACAGAAAGGGACAAAGAGTTTGTAGAAGACTTAAGTGGACAAGAGACTAAAGAAAACAAGAAAAAATGCCGAAACCAGTAAGTAGCTGTTCTCATCTTACTTTAGATGAGCTTACTCATCTAAAATCTGGCAGGGTTTTCACGTTTTAGAGTGGTGATCTTATAACAGCTCTAGTGGTTTTGACTCTGCCCTTCCTAGATTTTGTAAGGTCTAATAATGTACTACAACTGGAGTTGACATAGTTTAATACCAACATGTGAAAAAAGATTAAGCAAGCTCAGTACTGCAAGCTGCATGGAGCACACTTGGAGATGGGGGCAGTGCTTGTAAACCACAATGAACTTAGAGCCCATTTGGCTGGCAGGACGAATGACTTTTCAGGAATTGTTGACTTTGAGATGAGATGACATACAGTGGTTAATGGAGGCATAATTTGAGCCTGACTCCATGTCTCTGAGAATCAGTGGAAGGATTTGCTGCAGGGTTTGGCAGGGGAAGACAGAACATGTGTAAAATGTCTGTGATAGCAACAGGCGCTAAGTTGGGTGGTAGTTTTACCGCGGTAGTTTTACCATGGTAGAGGGTATAACCTAGAAGGTTAGTGTTGAAGGGAGGAAATAAGCAATGTTTGTGGTCCCCTATTCATCTGACTTCAGCTGAAATAAGGGTTTATCCACTTTCTATCCAGGGGAAAAATAAAATATCCAACTTTTGTTTTGATAATAGTTCTAGAATTCTCTGAAGAGATACTTATTCAGCAGCTTGATTCTTTTGCTGTTGGTGTAATATTGGTTGCTTAGGATTTCATCTGCCATGTGTTAAATTACTTTTGATTGTTTCTTCCTCTTGTATCTAGTGAGCAAAGCATTCGGAAAGGGAACCAAGTTGTCAGGGGAGATTATTTCTATTCAACTCAATTGGTTTATGTAGTAGCCTTCAGGCTTTCTTTGTTTACTGATGTTTCATTGAGGTAGTAGATTAGGAGCAGGGCAGATCTATTACTAAGAATAAATATGTCTGTGTGCATGTGTGTACACATATACATACCTATACATAGATGTCGAAAAGGTTTTTTCTGTTAATCAGAAGTTACCAGCATAAACAGTCTGTATGGCACACCAGTATTTGGAACTGGTACAGCTTAGTGAATAATGTGATCATGGGACTGTTCAAGGGCTAGAAGTTCTGTTCTGAGCTTTGCTGTTGGTCTAATGACCAACTGGCCATATCAGATTGCTTCTGTAATTTCTTCTTCCCCCGCCCCCCCCCCGCCCCGGTGGATCAGGGGCAATATCTTAGCACTTTCTGAAGCTGGAACTCGTTATTTGTATCCTGCCCCCTTCTTACAGAAAGCTGCACTGTTAAGGGCAGGAAAAGGAATTAGCAGCATACCGTTTTCTGACCTTTTTGAGTCCTGGCTGATAATTGAGTAGTGCCTTTGATAGAGCTTCTCAACTGGAAAACTGTATTTTATGAATAAGGCAAAAGGTCACTGTGAGCCCATGTGGTTCCTGAGGCCCTCGATTTCATGCAGCTACAGAGCAATGAAGTCACAGAAGTGATGACTAGAAAAAAAGACAGCCTGAGTGAGGTTACTTCTTTTTAAAATCTGGGATTGGAACCATGAAATTTAGGCAGGCAGGGTTCCCCCTGTTTTAAGGACCTGAGAAAATCATAGGAAATACAGTTTTAGGGTTGTTCACAAGAAGAGCAATATCCTTAGAACTGAGATTGCAGAGGTGTTGGAAAAGCTCACATCCACCCTAGGAATGGAAATTAGCTACCAGATCTTAGGAAAGAAGCTGGACTCATGCCAAAGATGAGATAATTTTTTTTTTTTTCCTTTTATGAGGGGCTTTATATAAAAAGTTCTCATATGTTGGGATGTTCTCGTATGTCTCCTGACCATGTAGGCGTGTGTGAGATCTTAGAAAGAAGCCAAGTGAAAGGAGCCATTAAAAAATGAAATTAAATTGATTACATTTCCCAAAAAATGTCATATGGATTTCTTCCTGTGAACTACAGGTTGCTGTAATTATAATTGGTAATCAGTGAATGAAGATAAAAAGTTCTCATATGTTGGGATGTTCTCGTATGTCTCCTGACCATGTAGGCGTGTGTGAGATCTTAGAAAGAAGCCAAGTGAAAGGAGCCATTAAAAAATGAAATTAAATTGATTACATTTCCCAAAAAATGTCATATGGATTTCTTCCTGTGAACTACAGGTTGCTGTAATTATAATTGGTAATCAGTGAATGAAGAAGTAACACACATGCCAAAGATAAAGTAATTTTCCCTATAAAAATCAAACCTCAGATTTTGCTCTGGCTGCTTCTTAAATGGTAGATCACTTTGGAACTTCTCCCTGCCCCCTCCGCCCCCCTGCCCCGCTCCTTTTTTTCTCCCCCCCTCTTTGGAGACTAAACAGCCTAGTCGTTGGTTATGTTTAATGAATCCCACATTGTTCTTTGAAGAGTCTTGCTGTTCTGCTAGGGTTTGATAGTACTGGACTTTAGAAGGTCTTTTGCTCTGGACATACACTGTAGCTCTTACCAGTTGTCTTTAAAGACAATCCACAATAACCAAATGTACTTGTAGTCCAGAAACTATTTGTGCTTCGACTCCTTGTTCTTTATTTTTGACAGCTGTTGCAATAAGACTGTCAGTGTTCTGTAGTTTTATTACTGGAGGTCTTTTAACCTGAAAACTAATGAAATAATCATGGATAAGAACTAAAGAAACCCAGTTAATCTAAGTGGTGAGAATTATGACTGTTATTTTATAGCTCCCTTCTTTGTATTACTGTGACCTATTTAGGTATATATTTTTTTTCCAGATTCTGCTGTAATGATCCAATTGCCAGTTTTCAGAAAATCTGGTCATCTTGTAAATATGTGAACCTGTGCAGTACAACTATAAGTAAATTCTCTCCACGTTTTTGGAATGATTTTTTTTTTTCTTATGTGTAACAAATAATTAAACTGTAGGTTGGTTTAAATGAAATCAGTAAACACTAAATCACAGAAAAAACAGTGGTATAGATTTCGGTTTCACTTTCTTGCTTTCATTTTGAAAAGTTATGTGGTATTCCAGACAAAATTACGTAAATTAAGACCAGTAAAGGGTCTTGGCATAGCTGAATTTCAAAGCAAAGATCTTTCGTTTTTCCTGGAAGTCTGAGTCTGAAGTAAGGTTCATGCCACTGTGAATGATCTTATACATGGTAGTAAAAGGTCATTGTTCTTCTGTGTTTGGAATTTTTCTCTCTTAGAGGCTACTAGGTTAAATAGCTTGGGTGAAAAGGCTGTTTTGAAAGGGTAAAAGTGACTTTAATATATTGTCCTATTGTCCTGAGGTAATATGTGTCTGAAAAATATATATTATTGAAACATTTTCTTGTTTGATTGCTTCAGTAGAAAAGTCTGTTTGTTCACTTTGGCTGTGTTTATAACAAAGTGGCTTTCCATTCTTTCAAGCAGTTCGCTCAGCATCTCCTCTACTTTTAGAACAAAATAGTTCTGAGACTTAATATTCTCAGTTGTGCCTAGCAGTGCAAAATTAACTTTCACTTAGCTTCTGTTGTGATCCATCTAAAAAAAATTGGTGACTGTTTAATTAGGTCTTTGCTGCTGTAATCAAAATTGGAGTTGTTAATAGGGCTGTTTTCAGTGTGCTCTAGTGAAGAATAGAATATTTGTTGAATCTTATTTTCAGTGCTTTCTTCCTAAAAGAACAGATACAAAATGTTTCTCAGCTGTATGCCATTCTCCCAGATCTTCACCAAAAATAGAAACATAGAAACTAAAATTAGGCATCATTAGTTACATAACTGTTAATCATTTCATAGGCTAAGAAGATTAGGTCTAATTGACTGAAATATTAGTCGCATTTATGGGGTGTAAGAGGAGTTAAAATTATCAGCTGGTTTTGGTAGTTTGCAGCATTTTTCTACAAGACTGCAAGGCGTGAAAGAGAAAGCATTATGCTGGGTAGTAACAGGTAGATGTCAAAGCTTAAGATTAAAAAAGAATTCTTTTTCTAGACTTCCAACATTTTATGATATTGTGTATTCAGAAGGAGTAGATATCAGATTTGGGAATAATATGGATATTTAAAATTTGAATTAATATTTACAAGATCAAGTTAATTTCTGTAAAGTGGTTGAATTGAAATAGTGTATAAATTAATTTTTGACTAGAGTGTTGTTTTACAGGAAAATCTTTGAGGTATGTAGTGCAGTATTTGAATTATGGTTTGAATGTATGATTTATTTCTGCAGCATGAATAGACAACTGATGTCAGTTTGGAGGACTGCTTTCTTCTGATTTGTCTATTAGTAAAATCTATTTATCATTATTCTATAGCCTTCTGTTCCTGATGCTGTTTAATCCTTAACTTTTTACCTTTTTTTTCATTAATTTTTCTCTTGCATCTCTTCCTATATCTGCTTTGAGGTTGATGAGGAGAGTGTGCTGTGTATATTGGTACACTGTGTAAAGCAGTGGTACCAATATACTTCTATTCCTTAACACAAATAATTTAATGTGCAAACTTGATAATAGTATTCAGCTGAACTAGTATGAAGAAACTCTTAGAAGAAACTTTTTTTGCTATATGCAATTTTCTTACAAGAATTGGACTGGTTTCTGTGGCTTTTACATGTGATTAATTCATATTGCATTTACTAAAACAAAGCAAAACCACTGGAAATCTTTTTCATGTAATTTTAAATGGTTTTCTTATTAAGTATTGGTACCTACTCAGTTTTGGGCTTCCTGATGAAAGCTGAAGTGCCACAACTAATATCTGCAAATGATGGCTGAAGTAGAGTAATAGGAAGTATTAGACTATTAAGCTAACAGTCAGTTTTTGTACATATTCTATGGAGTGTATCTACGTTTGAGGAGAGGTCCAAGGGTTAATGTGGTGACTGTGTAATATCCCATTAAATTGTGGAGAGTTGAAGTTAGATACTACAAGGAAGTGTAGCAATATTTTTTTCACGTCCTGAAAGCAGTGAAAGAATACAACAAAAATGGAATTCCCGTATGAAATGCGTGCTTTTAATATGTGCACA